AAACTCTGAGGAAGTTTTCATCATAGATGTTTTTCAGCAGATGGTGAGGGAAAAACAGGCTGAAAAGAAAGCTGCTAAAAGTACAACACAAAAACTAACACCTGCAACAAGACCCCTAATCTATTCAAAAAGATGATCAGATTGAAACATAAAGGAAAACCTGCTGTACTTGCACAAGCTGCAACTGAATTTATTGGCAGGGGGAGAAAGACTATGGCTACCAAGACTAAGTTCCCCAAAAGAAAAATGTCATCTAGGTTAGTTAAAAAAGCTAAACCTCCTCCAATCAAGTCTATTGCTAAGGATCCTCTAACAATCTTAGACACATTGTCATCTGACTCTTCATCACAAGAATCCTCCCCTTTAACATCCCTTGAACCTTTCAATACCTTTTATGGAACCAGTGAATCAACCCCTTTTGACTCTTCTTCCATTTGATTCCATTTTACTGATGACAAAAAAGGGGAGAAAAAATGTAAGTGCATGAGTTATTAAAAATTTAAGAGCATTTTAGGAAAACTAATTTTGATGATGCTAGACTATGTATGACAACATTTTATTACTGATGGATATTTTGTTACTGATATATGAATGCTGAAATTATTTTTTATGCTTTTGTGTTTAATGCAAATGTCAGTGATTATTGATGTTGGTATGGATGTGGACTGTTAATAATATGCTAGTGACAGATTGTTACAATGTGAATGGTATTCTGCCACCTATCATATCATTAATGATCTGGAAGCTTGAATAAAGTTACTTTGTTAAATTGTATGAATTTGTACTTGTTACTCCTTTTAAGATACAGATAAAAATATGCTGACTTGTTGAGTTGGATAGTAAATAACTTGAAAAGACCATGCATATACTAAGAGGGAGCACACATTTAGGGGGGAAAATTCCAATCTGGTGCAAAACAAAAATAACAAATAGACATTGTGTAATTAATCAAGGAATGTTTTGTCATCATCAAAAAAGGAGAAGATTGTTGACTCCATTAGTTTTTGATGATAATAAAACATTTCTATTTATCTATGTCTAACTTTTCTACTTGAGTGTATATGACAAATATATATTAAATAATTAGTTAATCATTCAACAAACAATATTAAAACTCATAAGAATAAAGAGCAACAATTGAGCAATGAAACAAAAAGTCTTTTAGTTGGATAATTAAGGGAGTTGGTTGGATAAAAATCAAAAGAGAAATTCGCAGGTTCAAGAAAATCATGAAACAGAGAACACTTAGTCGACCAAGAGACAATGTTAGTTGACTAAGAGATTACTACCAGAAACTGGGTTCAGAGACAAAGACAACTTAGTCGACTAAGTGATAATGATTAGTCAACTAAGAGCATTTTGTCTGACAGTTTGAATTGAATGCTAAAAGTTAAACTAACGACTGGAATTGCTCCCAAATTGTTTTTAAAGGTCAGAATTTGTCTAGCTGCCATCAGAGTTGATTTTTCAAGTATAAAAAACCCTCCCAACAGCCAAGAATCAGTTTTGAAGGCTTCCAAGATCAAAAAGAGCTCAAAAATCTCAAAAACTCTCTGCATATTTTCTGTACTTCACTCAAATCTTTGTAATTGAGTTAAGCACTTCATCTTGTACCATTAGATCATGGTAGTGATCATAGGTACCTCTTTATTTCTTTTTTTTTTAATTGCTTAGAGTGTTCGAGACACTCTAAGGGGATTAATCAAGCTTGGGTTAGCTTGGTTGAGTATATAAGTTCTAACTCAACCTAGAAAAGTTAGTTTTTAGATTTTAGTTGATCTCGAGAAAAATCATTGTTGAGGGTTGTGGCTGAGCCTGTGAAAAGCCATTGTAAAAGCTTGGTGAAAGCTTGAGAATTTCACCGTTTATAGTGATTTAGTTTAAAAAATCCTTGGTTGAACAATCAAGGTAGTGGATGTAGATCTTTGACTGAACCACTATAAATCTTTGTGTATTGTCTTCCCTGTTTTATTTTTCATTTCATTCCTTGTTAGATTATTCTTTATCTTGCATTTAACTTTCCATCATTGAACTTAAACTTGCCCCCAAATAGAGGTCAAATTTAGTAAGAGCTAAAAACCGCTATTCACCCCCCTTTAGCACATTTATTTAGGACCAACAAGATCTATATGATGGTTTTGATGTGACAAACTCTAAGCGAAAGATCCACCATAGCATACATTTCATATTGTATGTCCCATTAGTCGATCGATAGAAGGAAATGATTAAATAGATCCTTGTTTCATCACTGTATGAGCCTTAAGGAACTTGGATCTATGATATAAAGTTGAGATTTTGGGTTGTTACTTTAGCATGATATTCAAGGGTCAAGAATGATGTGATCTAACGAAACATGACTAAAAAAGTAGTCAAATCTTAATGGATTGGCATCAGTATCCAAGGAAGAGTCATTAAACATCTAACATATATGGTCTATAACTCATTGTTAAGGTGGTTATAAAACATTGGTTGTTAGATAAAACTATCAGTTTTGACACATAAAGAGATTTTGCATAGCTCTTATGTGTAAGAAGGATCAAAGATGCAAAATCTTGTGTGATTAAGATGATTTGGGGTGTGTCGAGAACTCAAGCGATGTTATGTTTGTAAAATGGTAACTTAATATCTCTTTGCTTACCAATGCCTTTTTCTCGTTGATCACATGTTCCATTTTCCTTGTATGACGGTGGATGCAGAAGGAATTAGATCAAGAGTTATATATGTTGATGCCAATGTGTACAAGTGGAAAATGTTGCATCTAAATGTGGTGTGTCCATATGGCATACAACTATGTTAATTATTTATGATAATTAACAAATAAATAATTAATTAATATTAGATATTGTTCTGATATTTCTTAATTGAATAATTGGAAAAACGTTCATAAGATAATTGGGATAGGATATAAATTTGACTTTAATTTGTTAAATTTAAATAAGGATTATTATGTAATAATCCATAGGGATAAAGTTTCCAAGTCAATTAAGATACAAAGATATTGTATCTTTCTACCCCAATAAAATAGAGATATATTTATTTTTATATAATAAATAAACGTATTAAAATTTTTCAAGAGAGAAATAAACATCAGTTTTTCAATAAGTCAGAAAAAAAAAAACACACTTCTTGTGGCACCATTAATAAGGCTTAAGGGTTTTGGAATATGAAATTAATCATGGAGAACTCTAGTAGCTGCTCCATAACAACAAGAATAGAGAAGTGGTTGTGTAGCTGTTGTTTGCACATTTGGAACACGAAGAAGAATTTGCAAAGTAAGCTTTTCGATTAGAGAGAAGAAAATTCAACCAAAAAGTAGACCCACCACAAAACAAAAACAATGAAATAGAAGGAATGCGATTAAAACCAACAGATAAAATGGGGTGTCTACACATGTTTCATATTAAAACTAAATTGTCCACTTGTATTAATAAAGCATAAAGTCACCAGTTAATTGAAGCCCACATAATACAAAATTCTAACACTAAAACTATTTTTCTTTGATTTCTATAATTGATTTTAGTTCTGAAATTTTAATTATTGATGTTTAAAACATGATTTGAATTCTGGTTTTATCATCACTTGATTGGATTCGCATGCCTTGTGATTTTATTTTGATATTTTATGTTTTATTTGATAAAAATTTGGTGAAATATGTTTTGTAGGCTAATCTTGCTAATTTTTGGACTTTTCTTAACTTTTAAGGATTTTATATTTCTTTCCTTATTCTGATTTTTATGATTGATTTTGGATATTATTATCCTAATGCATGCTGTTTATAAATTATTTATAGTTTGTTGCTTGGAATGCATGTTTAAGGGTTTGTTTCTTATTTTTGCATAGAAATGTATGCTTTGAGATTTTATTTTGACTTGATGCTTAGGAGCATTCTTAGGCTTGTTTGACAACAAGGTCTATGATTACATTATGCAAATGATTTGTTTGTACATTGCTTAAATTGTATTGTACTGAGAAAATTTCCTAGTTACTCTCCTTTATTGTTGTGTAGGGATTGGCTATGTAAATCGGCTTTGGGATCAGTCCATGAACAAAATAATTGAAGTACAATGGCAATATTAACATGAACCTATAATGACAAATATAACCTTAATGTCAAAATTTTATGATAGAATATTATAACTGTTTAGTTATTTCTTGTCATTACTTTAATAATCATTTTAATAAGCTTTAGTTCAAGTTTTCTCTTATTTGTTTTTAATTTAACCCATGATCAATCATTGCACGATAAGATGGGCGGTGAGTCATTCATGCTTATTCTGCTTGAACATGCCAGATGAAATGAATATAGGTCATTTGCCTACCGGCTGTTAACGAAGATCCAATGCTTGACAACTAAGACCACTGATTATCATCTTGAAACTGGCATGTTGATACAAACTCAAATAACCAAATTTTGTACCAAGATTTTGTTTCGCATCATGTTCTCTTCTTTCCCAACAGAATCAGATTTCCTTAGTGCAAACCCCATAAAATATTGGGGACCATATGGCTGTACAGGTTTATTGAATTTTAAAGGTACATAGTACAAACACACCCAGAGCTGTTGGACCGACAGTTTTTTCTTTCGTTTTCTTTTTTTTTTTTTTGTCTTTTAGACAATACAAGATCAGAAACCTTCCCCTTGGACTTGAACTGTTATATGTGATCAATGTTGCTAATCATTTCAATTCTACTGTTAGAACTTTGTTTGAAGCAAAATTATCTTTTACTCGGTGGTCTAATTTATATGAGGAGTAAATTTATTAGTAGATTCATGGAGAGGATAGCGACACGAATAGGCAGAAGAACATTCCAGCAGGCTTGGTTGCCCGAAAACCTTGGACGGTACAGCCAAATGAAGTATTTGCATAGTTGTGAAGCAGAGAAATGCGTGGAAATTTGAGCAGATTCTTACCCACTCTTAGTTAATGCCAAATCAAACAAAAACACAATAATAAGCCAATGAATTGGCGAATTGTTGAAGATATGCTGCGGATGGCCTATTTACAGCTAGCAATTTACACCCCAAACATGGGTGCCTCGAATTATATCCATTATTAGGTTAAAGTCGGAAAAACTAAAAATTAGGAATGGTCTCAAGTCATGAACACGTAAATTTGATCAAGGGTCCATGTGGAGTTGGAAAGGATACACACATACAAATTAAGTTAAAAAAAATTTGTCTGTTCAACGGTTTCAAGTCCTGTTTATGCTTAAACCTTGGAAAAGCCAATGTGGTCGTTTCCTGTCCTGATCGAATGTTGCGCTAGAACTGCTCATTGGAGTGTTGGGGCCACTGCAATCCTCTCCGCTCTGTGATTTAAACGAAGCCGAAGAATGAAGCTCCCTAATTTCCTTATGAATTGGCTGAGAATTAGTACATCCTAATTCTTGACTATGAGGCTTGGAGTTCGTTGGCGTCTTCTTGCTTGAGCTGCCTCCAATGCTTAGTGTCAGTTTAACTTCACTATCTTCATCAGAGCCTTCGATGCTCATCTGGTTAATTCTGGAGTGCATGAGGGAGCCACGCCCTGCTTGGTCTTCATGATCGACAGCGCTGACTTCAGCCGAGATGTCTTCCTCAGCTGGCCTCTCGAGATCAAAGCCTCTTGCAACTTTCATGGTGTCACCAGAGCAACTGCCACTCCTCTCCCTTGAGCTTGGATCACCTTGAGCATGGAAAGTGTACCCACAAGTCGTTTGCGCTGTTAGCTGCTGCTGGTTAATGAAGTGAGATTGGTTAACATCAAAGCTAGTCATAGGAGTAGTCCAAAATCTGTTTTGCTTGATTTCTTTCTTCACCTCATCCATCAGCATCTTTTGAACACTATACAGCCGGTGAAGTTCTCGTACCTGCAAGTCCCAGTATTTTGTTATTTTCTTATTTTTGGACCATCACGTTTAAGTGATAAACTTCCTTGACTGTTTGTGGCATTCAGTTTTGAGAGATTGGTTTGCTGAAGGGTGAGCAGAATGGTTCTTAAATTATCATGCATCTTCAAATTATGGAGAGATATAATGTATGGAGACATCTTGAATGATGGAAAGAAACACTGTGTCTGCAATTTAGCTGGAAACTAATGTTTGGTACATATGGGGATCTTGATGTCAAATTATTCAATTATTGAAGCTAGCAGTATCAAATATTTTGCATTTTCTCTGACACATTGGTAATCATAACCTCTGCAGAATGGTCATCTTTACATTTATTTAAGAAAAGAGAGAAATTCTTTAATTTCAGAAAATGCCAAAGCAAATATTAATTGGAGTCCGGAACAAAAGTTAATGTCTCACCATACCTGGTGTTTGAAGGTATCTTCATGCATCTCCATTGTCTTTCTGATTGACTCCATGTTGTGCCTTTCCAGCATCCTGTCCATGCAGCTGCCAGACCTTTCCAATCCAATCTTTTGACTATTCTCCTTCAGCGTTCTTGTTCTGAAATAGTCATCCACGAAATGCACAGTAAAGCTGCAGCTGTTGCTGTTTTGTGAAGTTGCTAACGGATTTACCGCACGCTCAAGTTTGGTTCCCATGCCTGAAAGTTGGCTTAACCATTAAACTTATTTTAGGCAGTAAATACAAGCCTATTATCCAATTACGAGAAATCACACAGAAATAACCCCTTTGGAAATACAGTGCACAAAGCTGCCACCAGGAGTAGCAAAAAATCATGCGAGACAACAATTTTCCTAGAAACTTTGTTTTTTTCCTTTTTCTTACGACTTTTTTCCTTGTCTGTTCTTTATATCCTCCTTTGAATGGGGTGGGTGTGTGATTCATGAAAAGCCACTACATGGAGGTGGAGACAGAGTCTAGTTGACCCCAAGTCTACGAGTCCAAAGTGACATCTGAGCACCAAAGACTAAATAGTGGAAAGATCTGATAAATCTTGAGTCATCTCCAACCTTGTCAGTTGCAACAAACAAATCCTTGCATCTAGAAACGGGGGGTGGGGGACGGGGAACTCGTTCTTCAAAATTCACTACAGTTGGCCCTGCATATACCATATCCTAAGTATGTATGGAACGAAACTTTTGTGGTTCCCTTTTTGGGGTACCAAATGCAGGCCATATGTAGGAAGCCTGGCTCCCGCACATGAAAAAAGCTGCTTTAAGTTTTTTTTTTTCTTTTTGCCAGCAATGAGAGAACGGGGTACGCTGGAAATTGTTCAGACCTGCATTGGGGAGCTCTTAAAGTGTTCCTGAACAGTACTCAGACAATGAAGAAGGAAGAAAAAGGAAATGGGATGTGGGCAATAAAGCGACCAAAGATGGATTGTGGGTCTCTCTCTCTGGTGCTTCCATCACTAACCTTAACAGTGGTCTTCATCTTCAAGAAGTTGTTCTCAAAAGTGTCCACTGCTTTTTCTTTCTTATTTTTGGTTTGATTTGCGTACATGATGAAATCTCACTAGAGATGAGGCTAATATGTGATCAAACTTAGCACAAAGACCTAAAAGCAATAACAATTATTGCATAATTCAACAGTAAACATGGTATGAAAGAGAGATTCAGTTTATACAGTAATTTGCAGTTGAAGAACAATGAGGATACAAGCTTCTGTAGTGTTTCAACTGCAAATTATTATAAAGAAAAAGACCTTCTCTTTCACTTTCAAGCATATGAGAGAACCGCTACGCATATGCATAGAAAAATTTTTATACAACACTCGAAAACTGCAACAAAGACAACCATAATTGGCATCAGCTAACCCAATAAAGATTTACACGAGAACACTAACAGCAAAACTCTCCTTCAATCAAAAGGCATATTGGAAGAAGAACGTTATGTTCCAAGCTAATTTTACCTGCAAGAAAAAGTTGCCGGATTGTGGTTCTCTACAAAGAGGCTCATTGAATATATGCCTCACTCAAGCATCTCTTTTCGTCCATAAGTCAATCTTGTCGATAAGCAAAAGTCAGGAATGCCGAAGAAAAGGAACTATTCACCTCAAAGGGCAGCAACCATGACTAATTTTTTTGGTGAAAATGGACGGAGCTATCTAAGCACTATAACTGTGGCGAAATCGGAAAACAACTGAGCAGGCACCAGCAAAATTATCTCTTGTTATGCCATGGACCAGGTGTTCACTTTCCTTAAAGAAACAACTAGGAGCGGTCTTACTAAAATAATATAATCATGGTGCTAATAATTCAAGCTTGACAGGCTGTGAAAGAAGGAGGCAAGAAAAAAGCTGGACTAGCAATGTGTTTGTGTTGTAATATTATTTTCAGAGAGAGAGAGAGAGAGAGAGAGAGAGAGAGGGAGAAGGCTGAATATAATATTATATATGATTGTATTGAACATATGGTATTGTATTGTATATTTGAGTTGCAAACTGTATTGTGAAGGAAGATCAAAGAATGGGGCCACAGTGCTATTAATATAGAAACAAATTACACTCCCAAATATAAGCGAAGGTATACCTGTGAACAAGATATTCCAGACAAGTCTTTGCAGGAAATCAAGATATGCATGAATGATAGGTAAAGGTGATGCTTCTTTCTTTCTTTGAACAATACCAAGTTAATTTTTATCCTTTTTATCATGCCTTTTTCTTGGTTTCCTGTTATTCTTATTTATGGAAATTCGACGATTCCCATTTCATTATTTTATAAATATATATACACGTACATATATAGTGTGTGTGTGCGCGCTGATCAACCATATCTAATCGCCTGTTGTGATTGAGATTTTATCTGAGTTCAAACTCAGATATTAAGATTCCATTTACATAGTTGTACGCTCACTTGGCAGTTGCAGCATTAAATTACTGTTGCACATGTCCTTCCATGGCAGAAATATAGCAGTGAAACAAAAATGGTCAAAAGCTTACAATTACTATTGTACATGTCCTTCCATGGCAGACCACTGCATTTCCTCTCAATTACAATTACATAGGGTCTATATATTTTGAGGGACTTAAGTTCTAAATATGTCTGCCATTTTTCTCAAAATTAAGAAAGTCTCTTCTTATGTAATTGGATGTTCTACACTTGAATAAAGATAGGTTTGAGGACGATTAAATGTTTTTTTCTTTTAAAAAGTCGAATTTGTCTCCTTTTTCTCCTAATAAAAGTAAATTGGATGCTTAAACGCTTATGCATGTCCCTTAACTGTAAGTAACAATGATAAGTTTGGCACATGTCCTCGAAAATCCAGTTAAGCCTTATCATTAACCCCTTGTTATGTCTGAATTCCTCCTTGTAGGAACAGACACCCAAAAAGTTCTTTGAAAACTCACATTACACAATCATGATTAAGATGTACTAGATAAAATGTTCAAGGGATTGATGATAGATCATTTAAACAAAAATCAAGCACATAGAGATTTGAGATGGGGAAAAGGGAAACTTCCCATGCTTCACTTTCTTCCAAAAGCTAAAGGTCCAAAAACTTACCTGTCCCTATGTAAATTAAAAGCGTACACACACACACACATACATATATATATATATATATATATATATATATATCCCAAATCCTTCAAACTCCCAAATTCTCACAGCCACACACATCCACATGCTTTCAGGTTATTATATTACATGATTGCTTTTACATTTTACTATATTCTTGAGCATGCCTCACCTTGTCTTCTACTTGTTTGTTTCTCCACTAAAAATCCTACGGTAACATGCCTTTTTGCTCTCTTCCTCCATTGCTGATAAATCTATAATATGACTCGCACGCATTTTTATGCATACACATGAGACAGTCTACACCACCCAATCTGCTGGCGCGTAAAAGTGCGTGACCGCGACAAAGTGTTCATCTACATGTATATTAAAAATTTTAAATTCGAATCTTTTATGTTTCTTAAATTTCTTGTGTATGGCTATAAAATGGGATTTGTATAATTTTGTGACAACCCAATTAATCTTAGTACGTAGTTTAGGAAAAGGAGGTGAATTGAATGGGGATAGGTCTCAAAAGGGAAGATAGCTGACAAATGTTTTTGTGTTCTACATCTTTTAACTATTTCAAAGGGACCACTTACCTAACTTCTTGCCAAGTTTTAGCACACTTGCATTTCTGGTAAAAGTGGTAGCTGAATGAGGCTGCCCGGCACGCTGGGTCCACAAAAGCAACTACTTGATGCTTCTTCAAGGTCTTATCCCTTTTGAGTTTTCCCCTGAGAGACGATGCTTTCAGAATTTTGGCAAGTTTGGAATACTTGTTCAGGACCCATGGCTACGCTTTGAATCTCTTCATCTTTGACATGGTAATTCAACTCTAGTGCCGCAATGACACTGTTGATGACAGTTCTGTTGTAGGTGGGAAATGTTTGATTTCTAGTTCCAACAGCTCATTGCTAGATCAGTTGGGATTTGGAAGGATAAAGTAAATTAATGTCTACATTTTATTGTAATCTATCGGTTAAAGTCACTTTTGATTGATATTTTATTATTTGTGTTTAGTCAAAAAAAATTTAAAAAAAACCAACAAAAATATCAACTAAATAAAGCTTTAAAAAGGCTCTCATGAACTCAGACTTTTAACTTAGATTTAGGGTTAAATCATCAATTATTGATTGACCAAATCACCATTAATTAATCATTAAATTAGCCTGTCACATGGAGAGTGGGAAGACATCGTAAAAGGAATAAAAAGGAAACCAAGATTCAGATAACCGTGATAAATACTCTTACTCTGGAGATCCCATGATGGGATTGTCAACGTAATTAATGAATGGTGATCCTAGGAGGCTATGATAAATAGATGTGTTTTATAAATTTAAGAGGGGACAAGCAAATTAAAACCGAAACTATTAATCAAATTAAGAGGTCAATCAAACATGGGAGGTTTAGCCATGTGAGGTGGCCACATGCAAGGCTAATGAGACATGTTCATCCTATACCTACTCATCTCACTTCGATGTACCACATATATATATATATATATTGTCATTAATTAGATAAATTTAATAAAGATTTTGAAGCGTGGATAAATGGCAGTAATCTCAAACAAAATAAGGATATGGAGAGAAGGAGAATTCCCCGTCCCTCCCTCTTTCTTGGAAGATGGTGTCATTTCCTATGAGATTTTTTTTTTCTTCCTGAGGTAGGCTTGTCATGGAAAACGCTGTTCTCTGGACAAAGTTTCCATGAGAATCTAGTCCCTTTCACGTCTGTTTTTGAAATTCTTTCCACATGGTAAAATGTCTCACTAGTACTGTTTGCTTCACTGATTGATTGGTCGGTTTTCAGACACGATAAGGAGCACGTTGGAAAGCCGGACTTATGCACAGTTCTCGCTGTACCATGAGGCCCTCTTCATCAGTTGCCTGCTCCTTCGAAGATCATTGGGCACTTATGATTTCCTAATTTCAATGCATATGAGGTCATTTAAATAAAAATAATGGTAGACTTTAACTCTACTTGTAGAAAGTTCATTGGGCATTTATGATCACATGCTACTATGCAGAATTGGATTTACTCATTGTTTTGCATCAACGTGTTAAACCTAAGGGGTGATACAGGACCTATTGACATTGGAAGCCGCCAGTTCTATTTGCCTATGACTCCAATTCAGTTTCTTTTACATTATTCCCTCTTTTAAATCAATCAAATCAAATTAAAAGTTACAAATTTTGATGCAACTTGATTAATGTTGACCAATCAAAAGATTTGAACATCCACAAAATCAATAGCATTAGCCGATCACAAAAGCAAATTAAGCAACTCCAACTTAAATCGCTTTCAAACCCAAATTAATTTGGATATTGAATGATAAAAATTTAAAATAATTAGGATCCATTATTATCACAAGTGAGAAGACAAAAGTTTAGATAAAGCAAAGGGGATAAAGAGAGACTATGGCGGCATGATGAATTATGAGCATCGAATAATATTAAAAATGTGAAGATAGAAAGAGCAAAGGGGCCGGTGTAGTTAGCAGAAGCAGAAAGGTGTTTGTGAATCCCACGAAAGACGGAGGAAAGGACACATGACCAATGCCACTGTATTGATGTTCTTCTCTTAATTTGATACTAACAACTAATAAACAATCCAAGAACGAATTGGTGGAGAAAGGGAACAAAAGAAGTGACGGCAGCTTCAAGTAAGTTCTGAATCGCATGGTTGATGGATTGATTGAGGATGAGCACGCCTTGTAGCCTTTGAGAGGCGCAAGCCGCAAGATTGTGGGCCCTATCCCTTCAGACCCATATCCTTTTTCAGCACACTCTTTCCATCAATCATCATCACAAACACAAACAAGCTCCTATCCCAGTTTTATACCATTCCCACCCAAGTCAGTCAAACATTTTCTATCTTATTGTGAGCAAGTCCAACTAAAATTGGAGATTGGTAATTGGGCACTTCTTGTGGAGTCCAGAGGATTCGAATTATTTAGGATTTAATTTTATTTTAGATTAGGATCACCGGACCATTTTTAATTTGATTTGTTTCAAATTTAACTCATCTTGAATTTTAGATTGTTTTGAATTCAGGTCATTTTCAATTCATATTGTTTTGGTTTGATTATTTCGAATTAAAGTAGATTTCAAGTTTTATAAATTTTAAATGCTTTTTGTAAATTCGAATGTAATAAATAATTTCACATTTTTTCATAATCAATTTCAAATTAACATAATTGATTAATTAATAAATTAAAAACAAAAATATGAAAAAATTAAAATTTTAAAAAAGCTAAACACTTAAAAAAAAAATTCTATGAACTATACGTGACGATTCAAAAAAGCACCTAACCTTTTATTACATCTAAGGTAGCATTTGATACTTTACAATGTAATGTGATTGCAAGTAATATGATTGCAAGTAATGTGATTGTAGAAAAAATAACATTACATTGTTTGGTATGCAAGTAAAATAATGATTAAAATATAAAAAGATAATATTACAGCGTTTGGTTTACAAGTACATTGCTGGGAATGTAATGTTAGTTTTTAAAATTACCCTAGTAATTAAAATACAAGTTTAATATATTTATATTTTTTATTATTAATTTTTATATAATATCATCTCTTAAATATATTTTTAATGTCATATATTTTATTTTTATTTATTATTATAATTTTATATATTTTATTTTTAATATATTTATATTTTTTATTATTAATTTTTATATAATATCATCTCTTAAATATATTTTTAATGTCATATACTTTATTTTCATTTATTATTATAATCTTATATGTTTTATTTTTATTTCTTTAATATATTTTTTATATTATATATTTTATTTTAATTTATTTTACCTATATTATATAAATTTTAATTTTTAATATTTTATTTTATTTTAATTTTTGATTATTATATTATATATTTTATTTTAATATATTTTATTTTAATTATAACAGTATAAAATATTTTTAATATGGTAATAAAGTTGAAGCGTAAAATTATCTTTAAGAACATTGTAGA